AAAATAGGTACGTTGACCTCAATAATTCATATAATTTTATTATTTTTGCTGCTTTAAATTGTTAATGATTGTAATTTTTATACTCATCAAGTACGCATAACTTGGATAATCTTTATAAAATATATATAACAACAAAATTGTCATGCTATATTAATATATTTATACTTAGAAAAACACTGCGTTGTAGGAGTATTTTCAGAAAAAAAATGTTATTTATTAGTTTAATAAAATTTCTAAAAAATTAAAATATATAGTTTTTAAATGGGATTTAATTATAACTGAAAATAAAAATATAAATAATAACTGTATAAAGGTATATCATCTTATATTTTATATTTTTTCAATGTAAAATATGTTCTTTTAAATCTAGAGAAATATATTGTGGAAATATAAATTTTAAATAATTTTAAATCAATCGAGAAAGAGAATATTAACTAAACAAAGTTGTTTATCTTCGATAATCATGTCAGTTGCCACTGTATATATTATTATATACCTATGTTTATATTATAACTATTACCTATGGTCCACATTCATGAATAAAAAATATATGTTATGAATGATTCTATAATCGCGATGAACTAAAAAAAAATTCACTTTTCCTTAAAATATTTTAATGTTTTAAAATAAAATGTAGGTAGTTATAATATTTTAATATTTCTATTAGTCATTAGTTTTAGGCTCAACGTATATTTTATGAATAAAAAAAATAGAAACAATTAAGGGAAAAACACTCTATATTTATATGAAAATGCTAATACATTGTTTCCGCACGTAAGTGGTACACACTTAATGAGTCTAAAATTAAATACCTAAATAATGTATGTTATAACTAATAATAAACTAAAATAAGTTTTGAGTTGCCTATTTAAGTTATAACCGTAAACTATGATAATACGATAAACATGTCTTAACATCGTTGTATACGTCTTCGTTGGCTGCTTTCAGAATATATTTACAGTAAAATAATATTCTTTGATGAATTGTGTTTTTATAACACTATATATATATATATATATATATATATATAATAAAATATATGAAAATATGACTACAGCTGTAGTGTGTTTTTGGGTGTGTCTAGAATTTCAGACATCGTGGACCACCTCCAGGTCAAAAAATGTGATTTTAAAATTATTGTAGATAATATTAAGAAAACACGTTTATACCTATAAGTACCTACTAGACTTTAGTCTTATTATTTTTTTTAACTTTTAAATAAAATAACTATTTAAATGCAAACTATAATTTATCAAATTGTTTGCATCAATTGTTTTTAAATTTGTATGGCTATTATTTTTTACTTAAAACTGGACCATTTTTTTCATATGAATCTATAGAACTTACGTCATATTTACATCATTTTTGGTTAGAAACTATAATAATATTAATTTTAGTTAAACTAAATATTCTTATATTGATAAACAATTCATAAAAGACTAAACTTATCAGTACCTTGTAAATCAATGTTATATGAAAATCAATATTAATTAATTCATTTAATTTTACTATAATTTTTACCGCACATAAATCTAACCTAAACTATCCATGCCAATATGCCATAAATATAACATTTTTATTATTTTTAATTCTAACTTTATTTTTATAAGGCTCATGAAACAAGAAACTTAAACAAATTTGGTACCTTTTAAGCATTACTTAACAATTACGTGTAAAATTATAAATCAAAATGTGTATGAATATTTTTTATATTTTTTTTTATACCTATCATAGTATCATGTAGTTATATTTAATTTAATTAACATTATTAGTTATTTACTTTTTTATCTATATTATTATATTCTCTAAATTACAAATAGTTATATAAATATAATTATTATTGTGATGTGTAGTTATATTATAAGAACATTTTTATTGATACCTAAATACTCTTAATAACCTTATACTATAATAAAAATAAATATTATTTTTATTTATTTATTTATTTGTTTTTTTTTTTTTTTTTGCAAAAACGACTATGAATTCTAGTGGTACATTTCAGATCAATAACATCATATTATAAACAAAAATATATTTTATATTTGAAAATTAATAAATTACAATACGTCAACCAATACTATAATTTTAATTAAAAATAAGAAGTACTATGAAACACATTAGTAAAATACAATAATTAGTTAAACTGATTTTATTAAAAAAATATTTTAATACAGTTGTTGTTAACATGCAATTTAGTTTAAATACAATTTTAGTAAAAAAGAAAGAGGACAAATTACTCGGAACATTCTTGCATCCTTAGTAGAATCATTGAGAAAGTGGGACATAATTGTAGTAGTTTGGCCACTTCCCTTAAAATACGTCTAGGCAACTCAAATAAAAAAATATTTTTACATTTAGTATATTTAATATATATATTAATAGTGTATTACGATAAATGAATAGCTGTTATTTTTTTTATGTAGTTTTTATTTTTATTTAATATGTTTAGAAAAACTACAAAAATATTAATTTTATTGTAGGAGATAATTGAAAAACACTTTATTTATTTTTTCAATCAACTTTTTTTGCGTAATAATATGTTTAGAAATTGTCATGTTATACTTTTATTACTTAGTTGGTATAATACTTTTAAAAAGTTCTTTATTGATATTTTAATAGTTTCTTCTTAAAATATAAAAGAACTATTATTTATGATTAAAAATACCAAGAATTGTTTAGTAAGCATAGATCTTATATTATGATTGTATTTTTCTATGGGCTCGTTTTTTTATGGGTATTAGTTAATTAAATAATAAAATAAAATAATTTTACCAAAATATTTAATATTTTAATGAATAAATGTATATTGTAGAGTACGTTCACTAAAATAGGTTACTGAATTGATAAAAATAATGTAAAATTTTTTTCCTGAAATACATTTATTTAAACTATCATTTAAGCATTACTCTTATTGAAATTATTTTTAGTTCATTGTTTATATAGTTTCCATTTTAAAAAGTTATAGTAGAAGCAAAACATTACACTGATTGGTTTTTAAAATAGTAGGTACAAATGGACTCATTAATGAGACACTTATATAGTTGTATATTATATTATGATAAAATATGAATGCATGTTTCTTAGTGTTACGAAAATGTTTGAATTTTATATTTTTATACATTGAAAAATATATTAAGTTAAAGTACTATTAAAATTTTAAATTTAACTTGACTAACAGTCAAATGTATAAATAATATATAAATATATATATTAAAAACTTAATCTGGTATGTCGATGTTGAACTGATAGAATGTAAGTATATGTCGTGATTTTAAATTTGACAAGTTGCAAAAAAAAAAATTTATTGTATGAATTATTATTTACATTTTGTGTAAACAAATTATAAGCCAATATACAAACAATGTTACTTTTAATTTTCGAAATAAAGTTTTAAAAACCTGTTGAAACATAGAATGAGACAACTTAAGTATTTAACAATTTAATTATTATTAATTACATATTATTTTAGATATTCTCGTAATATTAGGTAGATATTGATATGTATCTAATAGGAACCTATTTCAGAATAAAAAATTCATAGTTTATGCTTATCTAATTAATGTAATTTCACATTTGCATCTATATAATTATAAAGATAATGATAATATATTTTGATTATCATAGTCCATAAGTACCTTTTAATGTGGATTTTTATAACATAGAATGTTTATGCCTATACAGACATTTTTCATATCTTAATCGGCTTTGTTTCTTAAAAAAAAAACGACATAGTTATTATACTTAGAATTTAAGAATCATTGATTTTCCCCGTTATCTTAGTGCTAAGGTATTAGATGTTGTTAAAAATTTCAAATAACTTATCATATGACATAAATTATATTTAAATTGAAACATTTAATTGATTGTTATTTTAAAGATAACAAAATAAGTGACATTGACGCTTAAATAATATTACGAGGTTGAAATTATTAAAACGTATTTCCGGAAGTGATCAGTATATTATGTTTCTAAGATAATAAAAATATAAAATAATTAATATAACTATGAAAATGTTTTTGCAATAATATTATTATTATATTATAATCATTTTTACATTTATTATTCCGTAATAATCTCATATTGATTCGACTACTTGTCCACATCTCTCTGTTGACCTGTTGTCCATTATACTATACATATATATATATATATATTATTTGGGGACTACCTTCATACAATTAAACTTTTCATGTAGGTACAAATATACACACACTCATTTAAAATGTTTCTGAGCTTTCTCCGAGGCACACACACACACACGCGCGCGCGCGCGCGTGCTCTGGCGCGTTGACTGTGATTCTTCTTTGAGTCTAAATCAGCTCAACTTAACATCAAATATTCGTACCTAATCGTATATAATATTACGATATTCGATTTATGTTATTTTATTTTTGCCATGAATCCCGGTTTTAGGGGATGCAGCGTGCATTACTGTCAATTAAAATCAATAATACACTAAATAATAATAATAAGATATTAATACTAATGGATGTTTGACCGTTGTCTGACTACGATATCAATGAGCTGGAATCAACTTAAAGTAAAAAAAAAAAAATCACAGCCGTCCAGATGCTCTAAACGAGTATTCCAATTAATGATCAACGCAGAACCAGTTTTTTTAAAGAGGCCTCCCGAAAAAATAACACACACATACACACCAATAATATTCATAGACAAATACCATTAATTTCATCCTGTTCGTTTCCAATTCTTATTTTAAGACACCGCAAAAACTAGGTCAACGTGTACTATACATGATCAGAACTGTTGTTGAAAAATTATGACATATTACAATCTATGCGACTGGAAACTTTGATCGCTTACCTACACGAAATATCGACATTTTTATGTGGACATAGTGATAAATATTTGTTTTTATCGACCCCGACGTTATTATTTACTATTATTACATGCATTTTAATACCGGATATCGGGAGATAACTGATAAAATATATGTACCACCAGAGCGACACGTTCCTCTTTGTTGAACCAGTTTATTCACGAATTATACAATTTAATAAGCGCATTTTATTTATTGTTATTATATTATTATGGCGTGTTTTAAAGTGGTAAAAGCTTTATTTTGTATTATTATCAGTTTTAGCCACTCGACGTCGTGTTATAAGCTGTCGAAAAATGACGAGAAGTGTCCAGAAGTCAGGGCCAGGAGTAATTGTGATCTAGATGCAGTAAGAACTATATAATATATGATAATATATACATATTTACTACTAATAATTAATGTAATAATATAAAACAAAACATATCCAAATAAAGTACTAGAAGTAGTAGAAAAATAAAATAGATATTAATATAGTATAATGTATATTTAATGTTTCCGCACATGTGGTTTCATTTGAGATTAAATCAATTTAATATTAAGAATATCTGTTATTAAAAAAAAAACTTTCAATTACTACTGCACGCAAAGTACCTTTTTGATATTGGGAAATAAAATATATTAAATCACAATTTAATTTTTTTAGAAATATTAATTGCGTACTTGTAAAAAAAAAAAAATAATAATTAAAAAGAAATGTTTAAATTAAATTAATTAAAATAATATTAGGCATATGCTGATATGCGTCACGAACCAACCATAATCTGTTAATATCGAATACAATTATTCGAATAGGTAATATATTTTAAAAGCGTATTAGACCATTATTTAATACAAATGTACGATTTAATAATAATAGTAATAATAATATGTACGTGCATTCAAAATATATAACACATTTGATGTATGTTTGTGTTAAACGGTTTTTTTTTTTTTTTGTATAATTTTAATACGTAATTCGATATTAAAATATTCATATAGCCGTTACTGATTATGACGTGTGCAGTCAAATGTTATCTTCGTATACATATAGTACACATGGGTGGAAATAGGACTGTGGGAAATAATTATTCCATTACATATTTACTTCAACCCTCTGATAATTTTTTTCTCAATCTACTTAAATAAATTTTAGTTTTAAATAATAATTATAGCAATAAAAAATATGCGTGTGAGTTATTTATAAGTATATAGTTTTTATAAGAATTGCAATATATTTAATTCGATGTTGATTGAAAAACAATGTAGAGATAAGAAAGTATTTTCGAATTAATTGTTGTACTCCACCCTTACCATACACACACACGTCATACCCTCATAAGAACTGTTAGATATTTCAATCTAAGAAGCTTAAATTTCGCTTAAAATTATACCTAGTCAATGACATTCTTTTTCGCAAATGCTTATACGCACTTCGCTACTTTGGTTAGTAGCATGTTACTATTACCTATATTGAGTGTTTGAAATTTTTCATAAAATATTTCAATATTTTAATATTTTAATATTTTATTTTTACTTAACTTTTTGTAAAAATTATAATTAATAAGTATTATTTAAAATTAGACTATATAATTATCTAAATTAAATAAATTTCGTACTAGGTATTTAAAAAAAAATAAAAATAAAAATGTTATGTAAATGAAACTAACTTATATTAATTAGATAATATTTAATTATATTGATCGATTGTTGAATTTAATTGCTTTTTTACTTAATTTTGTACGTGATGTGATTGTGTACACGTGGCAATAACCAAGTGCCTTCACATTATATAATAATATCTTTTTAATAATAAATATTATTAAAAATAATGAGCAAAAAGCCCAAAAATAAAAAAATATACCTCAAAAAACAAAAATAAACCTAAATATGTCTTAAAAGGCAAAAACCTTTAATTAATAAATACTGAAAATAAACAAAATAAAATTATAGATTTAAATTTGTCGTAATACGAAATTAATTTATATTTAATCGGTCTATTTTGTGACTATGTAAAAAATATATACAAAGGCTAAAAATCTTCTACCTTAAAGACACGAATGATTTTTTACCTACTTTAATATTATAAAAGTATTTAAAATATTTTACATTGATAAGACACATACAAAAAAATTAAATAACACAATATTATACACAAATATAGAGTACTTACATCATAGTAGCATTATATACCTATATACTTAAATATGCCTATAACAACACGTAATGCATTATTAATATTTATTATCATTAAAAATTGCGCTAAAAAAAAAAAAAAATCAAAATTACACTTTTTTTTTTGTAAAATATTTCTTAAACACTACCTTTAATACATTCGCGTAGGTATCTATGATACGGCTATTGCTTTTTATTGTACGTCTATCTATATACGAGTAGTATAGGTGGTATAAAATATAGAGAAAATAAACATCGTTACATCGATATATCGCAAAGGTTATGACGAAATATGTATAATAAATTAATAATAATAATATAAGTGAAACAAAATGCGATTTACAGATTAAAGGCGCATGGAACGTAATAGAGTATTACGCAAGTTCAGAAGAGGTAGAGATCTATAGATGCATGAGGTCGACGTTCAATTTATCGCCGGACACGCCGGAGATTTCCATGGACTTTACGTACAGCTATGCGGACGACCCGGACAACGAAATGTTGACCGGCAACATCACATGGAATATACCAAGCTTTGAATTTCCCGGTCATTGGGTTCACATGGAAACACCGTGTATGGCACGTTATGATATCACATAATATATAATACTATAATAGTTTATTTTAAAATACGTGCGTCTGTTTATAACATTTTATAGTGTTACATAATAATAGTATATATACACTACTTTTACTTAGTCATAAGTTGCATAGCTTTGCAAATTCAAAATTTAGTTGAAACTCTAAGTTATATATAATTAATTTACTTTATATTACACAATAGGTACCGAGAACAAAAATATTTGTGTATTAATTATTTTAATTATTTCTAATCAAAACGGTGGTAAAAAAAAAAACAATAATCATGAGAATGAGTTTTTATTAATTCATAATTGTATGTAACTATATGCAAGTTATATAGTTGTTACTTGTTGCCTCAAATCAACTTTAATACATATATCACACATTTTTAAAAATGTTTGGCCTCATTCAAGGAATATATTAAACACTTCATGATTATTATCTTATTTCTGAAGCTTTTGGACTGAAAACTCTGGTTAACTATAGCTGTACGCTTAGCTATTTTTCCTCATTCTACGTGTTTTAATACGGATTTTTATATCCTATAGATTAGATACGAGCTACCATAAATTACCTAAAAATACTTAATTAAGCAACCGTTATATATTTCCTTTATAATCTATATCCTTTTATATTAGAATTAAATATGTAATATTGTAAAATTGTATCGTATCCACTATAAATTGTTAATTACCTATTCACATTAAATAAATGTTACTTCAAATTTAAAAGGTTAAATCACGTATAGGTATTTAATTATATTTTGTAATGACTAAAGCTCTCTTAGAACAATTATTATCTTAATTACGTTGCATTTCTACTCATATGCTAAGTATAAAGAATTTTAATAATATACTATTATATATTATTATATTGCTATACATATTTATGTCAAAGTATTTTTGATATATTCGATCGTAGATGGATTAAGTTTTCATGATGAGAAAAATTAACTTAAAAACGACAATTTTGTAATTTTATAGATGAAGGAGTTTACAATACGTTCGTACTAGACTGTAAGGACACGTGGGCAGTGCTTTTGCACTGCGCTGAGAAACCGTCCAGCCCGCGGTACTTGTCTAGCATCCTGTTGTCCAGGGAAAGGACGGTGCCTGTAAACGTGCTTAGTTACGTGCACGACAAATTGCCCAAGTACGGCGTCCAGCTCGAGTACACATTCCCTATGGTTCAGGACGATTGCAGTCCTGCCGTCATCCCGTTGTACTATGGTACAAAAACAGTGGCAGCCAGTGACAAGCAGACTGGGGCTGTAAGTAACATTTTCAAGCACCCTATGTTGCACAATGACCGGGGCAATAAGCAGCAAACCAAAATCAATACCGATAACCAATAATTACTGATATTGTATTGTTAACATTAGTACCGATTTACTTTAACATATTTTGATAAAACTAAATTGTAAATAAAACGTTATCAATATTATTATACATAATTATTTATGTCTAGACACTTGCATATTATTTATTTATATTTGAGACCTTGCGTTTTTGTTAGTTTTTTTTTACAGTTAACCATTGTCAGCACAATAACAATATTATAATTTACAGAGGTCGAAAACTTATACTTTTTAAACTCTTCGTTTCTCCGCGACAGAATATTTTTTACGGCCTCAGTAATATACTGCTGTATAATAAGTATAGTTGCATATTTTATTAATGAAGTAGGTAGGTAGGTATATAGGTTAGGCTAACCTCAACGTGCAATTATACATTCTTTCAAATGCAAACACATTATTACTTTTAGTTTTCACTTGCTAGCTCAAAAATTTGAATTATTTATGACGTGCGTTTTTTAATGTAATGAAAATAATTAGACCGTTTGAAACATTATACAAAAGCATGCACTATTTGAATATTAAAATTTAATAATATATACTTTAAGTTTATTCGCGTTTAATAACAATGGACTCTTGTCACAGCAATACAAACAATAAAAAAATGTTATTACAAATATAATCTCAACAAATAAAACAGTTGCTTGAGCTTTTATTTTTTACAACTGAATATCTTGACTTACTTATAATTGTATTATTTGTAATCGCATATTATACAGAATATAAACTATTACGATATAATATCATATTGTTTAAAGTCAATAATATAATAATGTAGTGAAATGATTTTTTTTCGGAATTTCTGATCAAAATACACAGATAATAATATTATATAAAATGATAGAAGAATGAGAAATCTGGTCGATGATTTTATCAAAAAAACGACGGATTTACCTACACAATATAATGATAGTAATTATTTTATGCCGAGGAGGCGAGGACCACGAATGCGCGCAGCGATCTCGTTTGTTTGATCTGCACACATTATATTTTATATATAATACACATAACGCTAATCAATGGCATGCTAATAACGTACGCGTAAAATGAACTAAACCAGTGCGTGTTATAAACTTATATACTTGTACCTACCTGTTTATATACAATACATATATAGTACGTGTGGTCCCGACAAGCGTGTGTGTGTTCGTATAATAGTATCAATGGATCATTAATACTAGGTTTTTTTTTTTTTTTACTTTCCATAACATTTTTTCGTACGCAAATGGCGTGTTGTTATACATACACGAGCACACCACACGATAGGAGGAAGAGGAGGAAGTAGTTATTCGGTTAGCCCCTGTCGGCGGTGGCTTCCTTTCGCTTCCGACACCACTGAGTGGCGGCTCGCGTACACACTCACTTACACACACTCACACACATACATATTATAAATTTATAAAATTCTATCCAGTTCCCATAAAACAGGGTTCCATTTACGACGATGACTTATGAGTGTGTGTGTGCCACAGAGAAATAAAAATACACAGAGGGGAGGCGATAAGCCCGGAGCGCGTATAATGCGCGCGCGCGGGTATACATTATATAGCTGCTGCTGCTGTTGCTACAGGTACTTATGTACAACTACAAGTATATAATATATATATATATATATATACATATATACATAGATATTTGAGAAGAAGATAATAAGTAGGTCACGGGGCCGACCTGCCCGATGGAATGCAGACTGACCGCCCCTCCTGCCCAAGGTGCTTTCCCTCGCTCCCCGCACCCCCTCTCCAAACACCCGTCGCTCATCCGCCAACCGACCCGCTGCGTAGACGGCCGACGGAGACACGTGGGAACCGGCCCGCGAGTCCATTGCCGAAATCACATTAATCCTGCTTATTATCCCTTTCGTTTTGTCATTACACGTCAGATTTACACTCACACGCACGAACGTATATACTATGCGTTACATTTCAATGCCTATATTATGTAATGTCCCTATAACCGATAACTCTTCTACCCCTATCTTACACGATTTCTTCCATCTTTAATTCGACGGAGAAAAATAAAAAAAATTGTATACTAATTCCTTCGAAGTTTATAACAGTATTGTTATTACTTATTAGTTATATTGAATGATCATTTAACATAGTAATAAAACATTCATAACTGTAGAGAACATTTTGCGGGATGTCTCTGCTGTATCACTTCACTCCACTCGTCTAAACTTTAAGTATATCGAATTACTCCAATTAATATTCTACTTTGGAATAAGGAATTAAAAATAAATGTTATTATTAAAAACTTTAATATTTAAAAAATACGTATAACAATAAAAAATAGTAAAATTTTATTATTTGTTTTAGAAAAATATTGTAGAAAAGTTTTTAAGTTTTTGGATGTAACGAGTGTAATACTACAATAAATGATCACCCGGCTTAGGTACGTGATAATTAAACGTATCTAACCCAATGCAGCAGCGTACGGTAAACGGTCTGCAAAAATCAAATTAAAAAGGAAACCATAGCTGTAAAAAGTATAATTGACGGGAAAAAACATATACAGCGGCCACCCAGTCTATATTATATATATAACTATATAAGTAATATCAGCTCTGAACAGCTAACACCTCCGAATAGCGGACAATATTTCAACGATCAAGTGTTCGGAATTTAAAGATTTCAATATAAATATAGGTATACAAAATATTTACGTATAATTCGGCGGTGCTTATAATATAATATTTAATTTAATATAGGTATGCTCTGTGCTCAGGACTAGAACTGTGACATTAGCGGCGGCGGTGTGGAACGATCGAGACGACTCGGCCGAGGCTAGACGAAGTTTAGAAGCGGTCCATTTGATCATCGATATGTGCAGGTACCTATATATTATTATTATACTCGAAGAGAGGTGCGTTACGCACGAGTCCACGTTCTACGTATAACTACTCCACGCACCTAATAACAATATAATAACGTATGCGATCACCATATATGTACGTATAGCATAGAAATACATACCTATGTATTATATATTGTTATATTATTATTTATCATCATACGAACATTATTAATATCGCCGCCACCGGTGTGAGAGAGAAGGCGAACTTGCAATAATTATAAACGTTTTATTTTTTTTTTTTTTTTTGTACTTTTACATAGGTACACTATTTTAGAATTATTATTATTATTATTATAACGACGATCATAATTATATCGTTACCTGACTGCGTGTTATTATTATTATTTTCGGTGTTGTGTATAATATTATTATTATCATCATTCATCGTACTCGTATCCGTTCCGTTGCCGGATACGTTAATTAATTAATAAGGGAAAAAGAAAAACGATCGTATGCGCACAGCTCTCAGTCGATCGACGTGAAGTCAGAATATTTAATACTACGGTACACCCGATGCTGCGCATATATTATATTACGTATTATTATTATTATTATTATTATATTATATGGATACTATATTGCTGCACACGTCGTGATTTTTTTCACACACGCGCGTACGTTGTTGTATTCATTGTCGTGACCGATAATAACTATATTGCGGGAGGAAACAATAAGATAATGTAATAAAATAATGATACATACACGAACACGTCAATGATAATGATAACGTGTAACCAATGGTGTAACTTTTTTGAAGTGGGAGATATGATAACATTCAGTTAGGTCAAAAATATATATATGACTGTGTAAAAAACATCTTTAGTTTACTTTTAACAAAGTTTAAAACAAGATAAATCTACTAGTATTATTTAATTTGTCATGGACGGTGCCGTGCAAGATCGACTATGGTTAATAAATATATTTACTACATACAAAATTAAAATCCTTTGAACGGGTAGCAAGAAATCCATACGCCCTGTTAGAGACATTTCTTACCCAAAAAAAACAAAAATTATTAAAATTGAATCACTTTGAGAGTCATGATAATTTTACTTATAAGACATGTTTTTAAGCAAAACAAGTCACGTGCAGACCCATTTGAGAGGACACCATCCGTTTGTGTTGTCTCCATCAAAACATTCAACATAGCATATTTGCGTTCAGTAGAATCCATTACGTATTATGTTATCTTTGATATTAGAGTGAATTATTATCAAAGTTAAAAGTTAGAAAACTATCAGTGATTAAGTATTAGATTTTTCTCGATATTTTAATTTTTGTGCTGTATATGAGCATTTTGTAATATTTTAGATACTAAATCTAACAACACATAATAGGTTCTTTTGATCGCGAATTTATTATGTTATATGTTTGAAAGACAAAGACAATACATACAATTATTATAGCGTCCTACTAACGAAGTTTAAGAAGTGACAATTAATTTTTCACAGGCGACGCTATGCAGTGTACAGAATTAGATGGTAATTTATAACAATCGAATAAACTGTTATTTTTAATATTTTTGATTTATGATTATTATTATTATTTATATTTTTTTAATAAAAGATTTCTATTCGTAGGTATATTTTGTATGAGTTGTATCATTTTTTTTAAATAGCTCCTTTATATAGTATCCTATATTATATACCTTACATAGTTAACAATTTATGTTTTATTTTATATGTATGTATATATGAATATATAAATAGAACAATAATATAAAATTCTGAAATTTATTTGGAAATTTAAAAACCATGTTAACTATGGAAATCGTGACAAAATTTCTGGGGCGCAAATCAATTTAGAATCAATGTTTATAGAATTTTATCAGTAAAATTATTTAATAAGCCATCAAATAAAATGCACATCTTTATGATAAATATTTTTTTACAAATTATGTCAAAAATAAAATGGGAAGGAAATGAACATAATTATTTTACCTTTCAAATAATTTATCAATAATAAATTAATACATGTGAAAACACTGGGTATATAATATAGGGCAGTAGATACTTGAAGTCGTATCAAATTATTTAATTTAACGAAAAAATATAAAATTAGTAAATAGTAAATACAGTGACGGCGCTGGAGTTTGTGGTGCCCTAGGAAAAATAAACCTCTACCTATACAGGACCTTTGAACCACTACTCACGTGGCCTAAATTAAAATTTTAAAGCACAAAGTCCGGGGCAAGCATGGATCAATTACGCCAAAACAAAGTTT